GGAGCATCATGATATGAGGCTGCTTCTCTACAAACAGTACTAAACCATGAGCGATGGACAGGGATGTATTAGAGGAGAATTTAAACTCATGGGTCAAGAATGGATCTGGAGAAGATGATTGTTTCAATAAAACAGTGACCCTAAACATACAAAATAACTCAAGACAGGTTTCTAAAAGAGAAGGTTAAAGTGCTTGTTCCTGACTTGAATCTTACTGAAAAATTATGGAAGATTTTGAAATTGTGAGTTCATAAGAGGGACCCTTGTAACTTGGGAAAATTAAGGTTTGCCAAGAGCAAGAGGCCAAAGTTGAACCACAATGTTGCAAAAAGCAAATGACTTCTTACTGTGTATGTTTCAAAGGTGTGACTGCCAACAATGATGTTGCAACAAAATACAAATATTATTAAACTGTGGTGTCTGAATGCTTTTTTCCCCATTTAATTGTTTAACATATCTTTGTTTATGTTCATAAATACATGCATGTCTGTTCATATTTAAAAGTACAAAGTCAAAATAATTTGTGTATAAACTTGAAGTGGATACATACTGTAAGTACAGTAAATAACAAAAAATTGTTTCCCCTCACACACTTTAATATTTTATAAATACCCAAAAGATATTTTAAATGTTTTATTCAATATCAAGCTACTTCCTTGTCTCTTATTAATTATGCCCACACTGCAGACATAGACCACTGTGTTAACTTCTGAAAGGTGGACAAGGCCTCCACCTCGATGGCACTGGAAACAAAGGTCCGGATTGGGACTAATTCGATTTATTTCTAATATATCTGCATCCAAGTTTTTGAGTCATGACTCTCCTTGACGAAGGTTAATGCTGAAATGTGTTGATATTGTGTGTCCAAAGCTATGCTACAATAAAGCCTTTTTAATTTAAATGGAAAGAGGCCTGGGCGCAATTTTGACCCCAATTCCACAGACCACCTTCAATATTTGTATGTTAATTTCTAAGTAGCATTTTTATCTGAAGATTGTTTTCATATATTATTACAAACACTGAAAACTTTTGAACATAAGCTTCTCTGGCCATCAGACAAAGATGTGGAAAAATTAGGAAGATGTGTCAGAGAGAACAGACAGCTCTCCTTCGCACTTTCCTCAAGTAAATATGTTGCGACGCATAGATACGTCATGGTATGTTGTAACTTTCATCCAAAGGAATGACATCAGTCACAATGGAACCATCTAAGCAAAACAATAGTCACTGACTCTCTTTAATTACAATTCCGAAGCAACCCGATTGTGCTTTATAGCTTGGCTTTAGTAGTATGAATGACTAACTTTTCAGAAGAAATTCATCACACCTCCCCTTATTTATAAAATGATAAAGAATGGAACAGGACTTGTAAGCATTATTGCAGCTCTTTGTATCAGTTCCCTGGGGAAATTGCTCAGAAGCATGAGCCAGAGTCAGGAGGAGGAGCTGCTGAAATGTCACAAGCCCAGTCCCCCAGGCAGAATAGGAACGAAAAACAAAGGGCACCTGAATGTACATGTGAGGTGGCACCTACAACGATGGACCGAGTTTCGCCATAAGCCTAATTAAAACACGAAACCTTCCCCAACATTAACAATGTCATTCTCCAAACAGCAGCCTGCGAGATATACTGGCATTTTCGCTGTGACAAAGACACGATGGAGGCGCCGTGTTCAACCCAGACCTTCTGAAAGTAATGCTGAATGTCATTTCCTCTGTGAACATTTTGAATGGCTTTTTTAGAGCACTGAGCCCTCGATAACCCTCAGGAAAAAAGTCATTTTTAAAACAAAGAGCTAACTTGAGTAAATCACACTTCGTAGTTATGACTGCTCAACATGTGGCTGTGAATAATCATTATTTTGTGTTCTTTGTCCTCCTTTTTCTGGTCTAGATGCCAGAAACAGACAGTGCTCTGTTTGGTAGCTTGTGCTATGGTTTTATTTTTAGAATGAGGTAATTGGAGCAGTAATCTTATTTTATTAAAAATTCCTTGGATGAGACTCAACATCAGTGGAGCGCACGCAGACATGGATTGACCCATTTCCCCTAACCTACAATCCATGTCTTGACCCCTCCCGAACAGCTGAGGGAATCAAGTCTGCTGTAAAAGGAGCCGAACTTCACCAAGCAATGAAGGACATGGAATGGAAGTCATTTACTTCGACAATCCTCCCTTAATACATGAGAAAAACACTGGAACAGAAATAAAAGAGTTTACAGGGACACTGCAGGCCTGCATGATTCAAATAGAGAACGTACACTACAAAAGTTCAGATACTCCTACTCACAGAAGGGATTTCCTTATTTGGTAACACTTATTCCCTGCTAAATATATTTGGCATAATCATGCTATAAACATGTAATGGCAGACATCATATGCAGTCGTGAGCTGTCATGACCGATTTTGTTCAGTAATATAACAATAGCTAGGTTTACATGCAGCCTAATAGTCTGTTAATAATCCGACTAATAGCTCAATCGGAATAAAATACATCCATGTACACACCTTACTTGGAATAGACTAGTTTGATTAAGGCCATTAGGAATAATGGCCTTAATCAAACTAGGTGGTTAATCCTGTAAATAATCTGTTAAATAGCAGAATAATGACCAGGCAAACGACTGTATCCGATTACACTCCCAATCAGAAATTTAAGTACGTTCTGTGCATGGACGTTTGCATCACAGTGAAAGTTTATAACGCTCAACACGGCGGGAGCAGAAACTGGTCTGCAGAGGAGATGAAGTTTATGCTTTCAACTTTAAAAGATGGCGGTGGGACGGATGTCTAGCTTATGTATCTCAGAACACGACGTCTTCCTCTCGCCCTTCTTAAATAAGTACATGTGAAGAACGTTTTCCCGAGTCTGAAATCATTTTAAAGTACTTAAAAACACAAGCACTGCTCACTGCTGCTCGTCTCACTCTGACTGTACTTACATGATGTTCGTTGTCATGGTACTGTCTACACTAAGCAGTTCTCTACGCATGCACATAATTTTGGATCGGATAACTTGTAATGTGCATGTAAACTGAGATTTTCCAATAGATTGTTGAGTAGAGTGAGCATATATAAAACCACAGTCTTAATCGGTAATCGGAATGTATTCAATCAGATCAGCAAAATCTTTGCATGTAAACACAGCCAGTGTTATGTTACCATTAACTGTGTCATGACAAATATCAAATGACTGCTTATGTTACACAATAAATGTTTTGCTGTGTACTCTAGTAAGACATTATGACATCCCACTGTGACATCTGTCATGAGACTTACTAGTAATGGTACCATAACACTTATATTAATGGACATAATCTGTCAAGACAATATATGGCATGTTTATGTCAATGTTATATAACAGGGTTTTGTTTGTCTATTTTCCACATGGTAGAATAATAGTGAACAAATCAAAACTATGTAATAGCACTTCTGGAACTATGTAGAGGCCAAAAAAAATGAGGGCTTTCCTGAAAAGCAATTTACAGGCTTCTAATACTTGTTGATATTGCAGATCGAGTACACTTATTCTCAAAAACACCTTAAAAAAAAGGACGATATTTGAAGCGCCTTTAGTGATCTAAGGGAACAGTCACATCGACTACATTAAACACGCAACATGAGCCTATTTTCATTTGTATGTGAGTGAAATGTAAACTCCAATCTCTCACTGCTCTAAACCAGTGGCTCTCACACTGGTCTTCCGGGACTCCCCAGATGGTCCATATTTTTCTCCAACCCAACTCACAATGCATAGGTATAGAGCAAACACGTGGACCGCCTGGGGGTCCCTGAGGACTGGATTGAGAACCACGATTCTAAACAATATTTTAAACACAGTACTGAAATTATCTGTTTTCACAGCAGCGCCTGTGCTATATTAACGTGTAGAGTGGAATCCTTGATACAGCAAATCAAAAAGACTGTGATTTCATCAGAATAAACAGATCTGCTGTTTGTGCTGTCAAGTTTTAGACCTGCTTGTACTGTGTAAAACTGTTTAACCAGAAAAGGATAGAAAGTGAGCTGATACACCTGCCAGAAGTGGTTGCGTGAGGGAGCTGAGTCTGAGGCAGTGTGGACTGGAACCATGGCAGATAACTTTACTTACATCTTAGAGATGATTTATCAAGGTTGTTCGTGCCTCCAAGGTAAACCAAATTCTTTATTAAGCTTCTTATTTTTAACTTTTTCCATGTATTAATAATTACTGTTCTAAAGGCTAGTGTTCTTTTGCTAATAACGTTTATTTTAGGCCGCAAAGGAAAAAAAAAATATTACGCCTGTGTGTGTGAGTCACAGAAACAAATAAAGATATAAACTATGACTTTACAGGAGAGGAAAAAAACATTCTTAACCTTTAATGTAAGTTAGTGTAACAAGATACTTAGCCATTTTAGACAATTTTTATTTGTCTGATCGTCATGAAATTTTAAGACGATGTAAACAGCTGCTGGTATTTTAAAATTTTGTTGCCAAAAAAAAAAAAGAAAAACAACAAAACAGAGATAAAAGACTTTGTTCCAAAAGCAATGACATGTTGGATCTGTCTTAGAAACACCTTTCATTTGCATAAGCTTTTAAATCAAAATGTCTCAGATAATCAAAAGCCTAAATTCAGTTGGGTGTGTCCACACTTTTCACTAGTTTCTCTTCCACAAATAACCAACTGTACAAAACAAACATTACAGTCTGGGTGCTGTCTATGAAATTCATTATGCTCTGAAAAAAGTGTGTTTGACCTGATCCATCACATTTGCTTTTTAACTGTACGGCAAAGTCAGTGCATTTACAGGTTTAGCTGGAGCTCAGTCCAAGCACAAGCACAGTCATAAGAAAATCGTAACCAGGCAAAAGCAAAGAGATTATCCATCAGAGTGTAAATGGACCTTCTAAGAAAAATGTTTTTTTGGCCATATTAGGCATTGACTACATCAAGGCTGTTTTATTTGGCAGTATTAATTCGAAGAACAAGACAACAAAAGCTCCTGAGACTTACCCGCCCCCGGAATGATGGCTAGCTTTGTTTCAACCAGTCCCATTTTGGCGGATGTAGCTGTAGACAAAGTGAAATAATTGGAAAAAGAGCATATGAAGGTTATATCTTTACATCACTGTCACATTACAATATTAGTTACAATTATTATTTTCATGTGATTATAATGCCTAATGTATCCAAAAGTATTCAGACACCCTTTCTAGTTAGAGAATTTTAGTTACTTTGAGGTGCACGCATTATTGACGCAGCTTGCGTAATCTCAGTAGAAAAGTATTGCCAATATGATTGGATGTTGAGTCTTAGGTTACCATGTCCAATGCCAAGCGCCAACTAGAGGGATATGGAGTATTGGGCTCTGGAGTGATGGAGCTTCAGTCAATACTTTCAGGATAAGTTAGAGTGGGGTTTGTGATCCAGAGCTAATTATCCTACTCATTAATGCTCTTGTGGCTGAATGCAATCAAATTCTCACAGCAATGTTCAAACATCTAGTGTAAAGCCTTCCCAGAAGAGTAGAGCCTGTTACTGCAAAGTGGGACAAACTGCTCATAAATCCCCCTGATTTCACGATAAACTTTGGATTAATAGGCATCTACAAATGTTGGACACAATCAACATATTTTCCAGCCTAACACAACATGAGCGGGTTGAGAGAGTAAAAAACATGAAGACATACAATTCAAATTTGCTCTATTATGTTCCAGAACATTTCCAAAAAAGGAACTCAGTGTCACTCAGCAACAACAATAACACCTTAAAATATTTTTGCTACAGAAACTGCCGCAGAAATGGGTTTTAGAAGGAATCAGTGTGAAAGCATATGGCGTGTGGCTTCTGCTAAGTGGGAAACGTGCTAAAGCATCAGGAGCAGATTTCCAAGTCCAAACTTGGGTGTGTGAGCTGAGAAAGCAAGAGTGAAGACATCTGTTCCCTGTCAGTGCAGTACAATATGTGGGTGTTAATTCACTAGAGGGGATACAGACACACATACCCACAGTGGGGGAATCAAAGAGGAGCCACAATGCATCATACCTTACTATTTAGGGTCTTACCATATTTAAAGCCTATAAGTAGGATAAGTGGGCTAACGTAGTATTGCCTTAACAATGACCTGAGTGAACACATACTTTGAGGGACACTTGAACCACCCGTGCTATTCACATATCTGCATTCTTGAACAAACAGCACTTTAATATTCTGATGAGAAAATATTTTATACTGTTATAAATAAAAAAAGGGAAAAAACAACAACAAAACACAGACTTTGTTGCGAGCAGTCAGAGTAAGAGACAATCTGTACCTGATCACTGGGTTGAGTTCATTTTTTCCTCTGTATTTTAGGTGTATGAGATTTAAAGGAGAATTCCATCAAATTTTCAAAATTTCTGCATAATTAAATGGTTAAGATACAAAACAAAATCATTCAGTGTGGTCTGATGTGAAATGATTTATTGCAGATTCAGAACTGTTCACAACAGTGGTGACAGGAACCAGAGGTCACATTTATAAACGTATAAAACATTTATAAAACATCCATTTGATCATATATGAAAATTCACATTAAGTAATTGTTTCTAAAATGTTAGTGTCCACACATATCTATACAAGTTTACAACCTAATGTACAAACAATTTATTGTGGCAATGCCAATGTGCTACAGTCATTATAGCCTGTCATTTATTGACACTGTATTTTTATGTCATTCAAAAGTACAAGACAAAAAATTATGTTAACAACAAATTTAGAATTAAATTCAAGTTTGTTTTATAAATGAGGCCCCAGATAACTGAAGCATTAAATGCCTCTAAATTCTACTTCAAATGAGGCAATTATTCCAAATGGTTACAAATATGTTGCCTAAAACACTGTCTTAGGGTAGTTTTTATATAAGTCTTTTTTTAATACATTCACGGTGGAAAAGTAAATGAAGGGTGTTCAAAATAGCCCCCAAAGAAAACTAATTTTTCTGATTTACCACTGTTTTACCAACATTACTTAAAACTCAGAAGACACATGTAGGTTCACTGGTCTTTCTGTATGGTAAACAAAAATGACTAAGCTCTGCTTAGACAAGATAATCCATGATTGTTTCACAATACACAATTTCTTTTTCCAAACTACACATGCCTTATTGAAAAGATCCAATACCAGTAAATCTGATTAATTACACCCATCCCTGCATTAAAGAGTTAATTATCAAAATCAGCATCTAAGCTCTCACACCTAATAGTGCATGTGTTACCTGCTATTCTGATGTCACAGGCCAGAGCCATCTCCAGTCCTCCTCCCAGTGCTGCTCCATCAATGGCTGCGATAGTTGGCATGGGCAGATTGCCTAAAGCCAGGCATATGACAGGAAAATGTCTATTAACCTAATTTGCATTAGCATTCACTAGGGATGCACAGATACCACTTTTTCCCTTCTGATACTGATATATACACACATACACGTGTGTGTATGCACATGTGTAAAACTATCTTATTATGCTTAAAAAACTTATTTTTGTTTGTTTGTTGTTTGTGTACATATACACACACATACAATTATAATTTACTGATACATAATTAGTGATAATCACATTTTTCAACTGAAGTAAATGCAGAATATTTATATTGAGCAAAACAGTTACAAACGTAAGCACACAGCAGCTTCTTTGGCTCAGGTAAAAGGGTCCCTAATGTTGTTTCATTTTCAGATTTCTCAAGTCATTTTTCTCATGCATATGTTTTGAATTATGCTTATATCTCAGAGCATCAGACTCTGCTGGTGGTCAATAAATATTACAGTTGTTCACGCTATCATTTATTGGATCGATTGTAGTACCAGGTCTTAAAGGGCTTAGCAAGGCTAAAGGCTATCATTACCCAAAGAGAACCATAAATACGTCTCTCTGATGTTCACTCTTTCGATAACAACCTGCACCAACATTAACACAGACTGAAACTGTCTACACTGATGGAGATGAACGACTGCTGAAAGAAGCATGGCTTAGCCGCTCCCATTAGCGTGTTTTACAGTGTTTGTATGTTGTTAACTGGCTTATTTGTAGCATACCGGAGTAGCTAATGCCTTAGGGAGAATTCCAACCAGTATATCACCTACTATCATTACCTTTCTGCGAAACAATGGCATTATAAATTTTGTCATGAGCATTTTTACTGCTGTTTGTCACCCCACACTGCAGACGTGTTAAATTCCATCTAGCAGCGGGTGTGTGCATCAGCAATTGCTTCATGGTATTGATCATAGGTATCGGTATCCTCATACTGCAGTTGAAGAGTGAAGAGTCTGGGTAAATGCTAGGGTTACACCAATACTGATGTTGCATTTAAGTGAGTATTGGTGCAACTCTAGCATTTACCAACTGACTTTTCACAACTGCAGTACTAAACAGAATAACACAAAAGCCTTTCAGCACATCTCACCCCTGCAAAGAAGATTTAAATTAAGCTCAAAATTAGTACACAGCATTCGATCGAAGACTTCATAATGAATGTTGAACTGACTCACAGTGTGGAAACAAGCCAAAGAATACAGAAGGTCCCGTAACATGGACAACCAACCTTACCATACTTTTTTTAAATAAAGTTTAATGCATTTAACTTTCAAAACATACGCTCAAAGACCCAGTCCATACAGTCCATTCAAGGAAGCTAAGCTGCAAAAACAGCCCTTTTTGAATGATGTTTGTGCCTTTACAAAAATCAAGACATTTACTTCCTGTTCTGCTTGCAGCAGTTTAGCTCTACCCAACCATGCTGCAGTTATAAGGAGTGTTTCAGTCCAGACTGCTTTTTGTAGGAGGCACAATTCACGGCAGCTGATCAGAACACTTTACCCTAACATATATCAACCTTGAAACCTTGACAGTAACATACACAGCCTATTCAATTCTTAAGCATAAAGGAGAAGGTTGAATAAAGAGAGGTTGGAAAATGGTCATGTAAAAATGATTTAAGATTGTTCTTGATACATAAAACCACATAAATTTCATAAATGGACCTAAAAGGAAAAAAGAAAAATGCTAGTAAACAGCAGGACATGAGCTCTTTAATATCATACTTGAATCTATGTAATAGAATGACAAGTATGAATATAAAAATAAAACCATCATTCCTGAAGTGCTTTGCAACTCCTAGTAATTCTGAGGAAAGCAATGAAGAACGTAGCAGAGAAATATGAGAGATCAAAAGATTGTATCATGCTCACTTGTCAGGTTGGAAACCCAGTTTGTGCATCAAAATAGTACAGAAAGTTATGTACAACCAATCCTTGCATTGACTTGGACCTCTTAATATTACACTTTTTGGAGCTTGGAACTGATTTATTTCAATAAAAAATGAGACGTAACCATATAGTTCTTGGATAATGACAGTATAAATAAATACAGGAACCTCAGCATTGCCGTCATGCTGACTGAATTTATATGTACTGCAACTGAAATGGGGAAGGAAGACAATCTTTCAGGATCCTGCTTCAGCTATTCTATGAAATTAGTTTCAGCTAAAATATCTGTTGTTGGCGTGGTGCTTTTTTTGATGTAAGAAGTAGCTTCCCAAAACACTACTTCAGTATAAGGCCACTTCATAATAATTTGTCTAACGGTAAATAAGAACTACTCTACCATAATAGTTAACAATTACTCTTCATTAATGCAATCAGCATAACTGAAAAGGTATAATAGCTTTGTCTAGGTTGCCAGTTGCAATTTAGATGTAATCCAGTAATAAAAAGAATCTGGATTATAGAATAAGGTTATATACAGAGTACAATTATATACAGAAAGTAGTCTTTCAACATCTGACTAGATGAGGTTGTTTGGGACTGGCTAAAATGTTTGATTTGATGCTCATCCACGTATTGTAAGTTCCCGTGAGTTTTGCAACCAAAGGAAACCTGTTTCTAAATGCTGTCTGCTAAATGTTTAAACTTCATGAACCCATTTATGACTGTTTGCAGGTGGCAAAGAAAAACCTGGTCCCCGCAGACAGATGGCCCAAGACAGATGGCTTAACAGATATGTGCTACCAATGCAATCGTTAGACTCATAAAATTCTTGGTATCTGACAAGATAATTATATTTTGATAAGCTATCAAGAAACAGAACCCATGAAATTAACCATATAGGCTTCTCATCTTAGTAAGGCAACAGTTACGACTCCATCCAGTATCTTTTATGAAAAACTTTTACGTTTTAACACTTCAAAACTTTGCCCAATGTCAGGGAAGCCAAAGGTATACAGTGGAAAAATGTCGAAAACAACCATTTCAATCAATAAATCACAACATTTTTACAGGAAATTACATAACACATTTTTATCTCTAAACGTCAGTATGATGGAAACAAGCTGCTGGCCAGAAAGTATTGAAAGTATTTTCTTCTTGTTTGTTTTGTTTTTTTTAAAGACATTTCTATTTTATTGCTTACAGTCTGTACAGAAAGTTGATAGAAATGTAGCTACCATGTTGTGCAAAAGCATCCACATTAATCCTTTCAATATTAAGTGGTGCCTAGTACAAGTCTAGTTCACTTATTCATCTTAAAAGTGATGAATCACATACTTAGAAAATAATGGGCCTCATTCATCAATATCTTCCTGAGTTATTTCTTAAATTTGTCCTTGCAAAAGTCTATGCCGGATTCATGACGTGTTCTTAAACTGCAAAATTGTTTGCACCTTTGTGCCCTTGAGCGAGTGTAGATTCTGGTCTTACCTAATAAAAAAATCCCACCAGTGAATGTCAGAATCTTCGTGAAAACTGCATAAGTGGATTTTAAGAAGAAATTTCTTTTTAAGAACGGTTGGTGAACAGAGAGTGAATATTCTCAATATTCAAACCGTATTGATTTTTTAAGCGAACAGAAGCAAACACAAGCTCTGCAGCAAACCATGAAATGAAATGCAAATGTTGATGCACAATTACGTTATATTTGATTAACTTGCAAAAGTTTGGACACAGTTCCAGTTATAAAAAGTCTCAGAACTTAAAAGGCTCATATCTATTTTTCCTGTATTTTCACTGGGGTTCACTTATTACATTTGTATGGTTTTATCAACCAAAAAGTGTCATCATTCCTTTTACTTGTCCATTTTTAAACCTCTCTTTATCCTGTCTAATTAAACAAGATGGTTTTGTTACTCTGTCTTTAAGACTTATATATGTAAATTAGTTCTATTCTGATTGGCTGCCCTGTATTGCAGCTCATTTAAAAAGCAGTTCAGACTAAAACACTCCTTATAATTTTAGCATCTTAGTTTCCATAAATGGACTGCATGGACTGGGGTGTCTGTATGGACTCATGTGAACGGCAGGTTTTATCATTGTTTACATACTACATTAAACGCTTTGATTTCAAAACAGTGATTACATGAGCACTTTAATTAGCTCATTAAGCCTTAACTGACACAAGGGATGGTTAGGCAGGTCAGTAACTGTCATTAGGAATTGCTATGGCCTAAAATTCTTCTAAATGGACTGTGAAATTACACATTTTTGAAACACTACAGACATAATTTTAAAGTGGGCTATAGAGCACAAATGTCCAATACAGAACATGAGCCTGTTGAAAAGCATGTACTTGGAGTTTCTCCAAATGCCATTTTAGCTGCAAAAATGGTAATAGCTCAACACCCACAGTAAGGATATGTATGGTCTTTTTATGTCCCATCTCTTCTGAAATGCTAGGGGCTTTACTTCATTCATAAAATTACTAAAACAGAATTATTTATTTATCTATTGGGTAAAAAACTTCACGGTTCGGTGTATGCAGTTGTATAGAGAACATATGATCAAATACAAAAAAACTGGCTTTTTTAAATAAATATTGCAGTTAGCCATTTACTTACCTAGCTCTGTAATAAGTGCCCTCGCTTTAGAGACAAAAGGCCCGACTTCACTCTGATGCATTTTGGCTCTCTCTTTCAAGTCAGCACCTGTTTAACAATTATGAATGTCTCATTTCCAGTGAAGCTCATGTAGTGATGTAGAAGGTTTTTCTAAGAAAATCAAAACTAATCCTGATGTAGAAAGATTTTCTAAGGAAAGATTATCTGCTCTTTCCTATTTAATAAGAACTGCTAGTCACCACAAAACGTAAAAAATGTGATTCTTGGACTGGAAAAAAAAATCTTTTCAAATTACCTGCACAGAACACTCCGGGCACCATGCTGCATAAGATGACACTACGCACTTTGTTGTTCTTTTTCACTGATTCAACAGCCTCAGACATCTAAAGAAAGGGAAGCAATTAGGACAAAATAACTCACCAATTCACTCCTAGAGCTGTAAGTCAGTATGTGCAAGTCCATTATACTTACCATCTTTACAAGGTTTTTACTGATAGCATTTTTAGCTTTAGGGCGATTCATCCCAAAGACAACAATCCCTAAAATGCAAAAGACACAAAAGTTTAGTCATAAGGGATTGTTTTGTTTGTTTAAATTACATTACACTGTTAAATCATAGGCTTTTTGTATAAGTCAGATAAGACACTGTGAGGTTCACCAAGTGGACAACCCTAATGTGAGGAATGAAACAGCACAGACCGTTTAAATTAATTTTCGATCTAATTTTTTAAGTTCAAGCTCCTGTTTTTAAACCAGACTCTGTTTGTTTTACAACATTGCCACAAATCAGACCTAACTCTAAACGCAACACAGGACAAACCATCATATTTCAATTTAGAAGAACACAGACACTGCTGTTTTTCTTACTTCTTGGACATAACGCAGTCAAACCAATGGCTTTGTTAAAGGGGCACTCCAACCAAAATGAAAAATGTAACCATTGCTTCATCTGTTGTAAACATGCCTACCCGCCTCCTACACTGGCGCCACAATACTCTCTAGAGCGATTTTTTAGTTTGAACACTACAAAAACCTCCTCTGATGATGTCTCTTGAAGGTAGGAGGGACTTCTGAAAAATGACCACTGCTTTGGGGGCAGATGCTTGAGGATGGGCTGTTTGAAATTGTATTTTTTTTTCTGCTAGCTGGCTAATGCAGAAGGAAGCCAACATTACTGTGAGGAAGTGGAACATCCCATCTGTATTTATTAGCCTTTACATCAGTGGCTAGAAGTCATGTTTCGTTATCACAGCTGGGAGAAGACTCAGAACTGTATTTGCATAATGCCTGCTGGGTATTGTAGTCATGGATTACTGATGAACAAAAACGATACAGAATCATGGATTCTGTCAGGCTACGGGATATAATGTACTACATAATATTACATAACATGACAAATACCGTATTAAATGCTAGTTCTAGACAGGAATGTCTCTTTAAACACATTCATATCAACCAAGGCACTGCAAGGTTGACCAGGAGGACAGTCCTTAAATGGCAGGTGAGCCTGAGGCAGAGCCTGGGTTCAGCACGACTGTCAGCATGACTGACAACTTGGACAACTTGGAGCTGACAGACTGAAGGACAGCTGTGGCCGTGTGTGGACCCGGGAGACCCTGTGCAGTGCAGTAGTGGGGTTCTCCGGGTTCTCCTATTCAAACGAGTGCAGAGCTGACAGGGTTCGTGCAGCTTGTCTTTATGTTTTTAACCGCCGCACAACATTCGTATAACAGCGAATTATCAGGCAGCAGATACACTGAAGACTGTAGTTCTGTACGGTGTAAAGCGGCTACCTGAGTCATCTCCGTCTAGATATCTAACGGTTAGCTCCTCCCCCGCCTTAGACTCCGAGCTGTACCGTCTCAGGCTGCACACAGCTCGTTGCATAACATCCTGCAATGTGCAGACGCCGTCGAGGTTCGCCGTTTGGCCTCGAAAAGCCTGAGAGAAGACTCGACACCCAGCGAGCAGCGCCATACCACCTCAGCCTGCTGCAGTGTGTTTGTAAGCTACGACTTTCAACTTTGAACTCCGAGTGACGCAGTTGTGCACCACGTGACTCCGGTCCCAACGGCAGCACGGATTTCCCCGGATGCTTCTGAACCAAAAAGAGCAACTGTTTCAAACATCTTTTCCATTTTTAATCCTCTTTACTTCCCTTATTTTTCTGTTATGGTCCTCTTAATCGTTCGCATAATTCGAACACTTCGATAGGCGGTTACAGCCGCTCAGTTAAAGGGGAATTCCGCCGACGTTTCACAGTTGTTTCATAATCCAATGATTTAAGATGTAAACACAGGGACTAGGAGTGACTTGTTTACAGTGGTGGAGGTAGGAACCAGACATCCGAAGACCTCTAAATACTCCCTCGCAGAAAATGATTACATGAAATCATTATGAGTTCATGTAATCAATAGTTTAAACATACGGTTTGGGCCTATATCATCTTTTTTGAAACACATGCAGGGTGCTTTAAGCCAAAATAACAATCCAAATAACCTTTATTTTCAAATGTACTACTATGTACCTATTATCAACATCACACAAACATTAATATACGAACTCAGAAGACACGTGTAGGTTCACTGGTGGTTCGGGATAGTGAATGTCTGTTTGCTTTGTAACCCCTGGTTCCAGTTACCACCACTGTAAGGATATATGGGTTGTTAAGTTTCAATACAACACACCATTTCATGTTAAACCACTCAGAATGACTTTGTTTACATCGCAGTGATTAAATTATGCAGCCATTTTGAAATGGCAGTAGAATGTAGTTGTACCTTAAACAGGTAGGTGGGTGGTACTCAGGTAAAAATGCTTTAGCGGATTTATGCTTTCCTGAGTATGTTCAATTCACACTTTTGCTTCTGCTTAAGTATATTTAGCTGTTGTCAGAACAAAACCTTGTATCTTCAAAATGAGAACTTTACAGGAGCGGAAAAAAACATACTCTGCTTTTCCAAGTAATTTTGGATAATATCTGTTGGTCCTTTCGTCATGAGATTTACACACAATGTAAAGTACTTTTAAATTATATCAAAAATTGAAAAACAACAAAAACTGGAGATACAAGGTTGTTCCGACAACAGTGATTTATATGTGTTTATTACTGTTATGTTCTTGACAGTGTCTGCCATACCTCTGATTTTTGAGCTTTAGCAGTGTATTTCAGATGCAAGATTGCATCTAAAGGGGAAGAAACCTACCAAAACTCATTTTCTATGCTGATAGATGCTGGATGTACTAATTCTCCTTTAGTTCTTTAGTGAACTCAGTACTTGAGCAGCCTTTTGGCTGGACACTTTTGTACTTCTCTGTTTTTTTTAGGAAGAACTTTTATCTGAGTAATTATTTCACAGAAGTAACTATATTTTGACCCGAGTGTGTGTTTAGACCACTCAACGCACCTCTAATCACAAATGGAGGCAGAGTAACATTTTAGTAATTTTTGATGTATAAAAGATTTTGGCCTTACGACACAGATTATTTGCTCATGATTTTTGCCAAACAAACCTGATGCCCGACAAATTCTCAGTGTCTGCATTAGAGTAGCTACAGTAATTCATGGTGCTTTAACTACCAGTATTAACACAGTGACTTTAAGAACAATAAAAAGGGATCCAGGACTCTTCAGCTGCCATTCAGCTACTACTTTACCTACATTCCTGTAGATCAGGGTTGCTCAATCCTGGTCCTGGAGATGTACCACCCTGGAGAGATCTAACACACCTGGCTCTCATATTCAGATGCTCCTGAAGGCCTTCATTAATTGGATTAGAGGTGGAACTAAGCTGTGCAGGGTGGTAGATCTCCAGAACCAGGATTGGGCACCCCTGCTGTAGATAAAACTGAAGTCACTTGTCAGCTACGAACTAAATGGGCTGAACTCAGGGACAGTCTGACTTTGTAATCTTTTTACAAAGTAGATTAGATTATGTTTTTGTAATAAGACAGTAGATTTAGTGGATGACGGCATCACTCTTTATCAGGCTCTATTATAGCATGAAGGACTGCTTTCATGACAGCTTCGTGGCTTGATGATTATATTTGAGCATGACATAACTTTGTTTTTATTGTGCACCCGATTTACATTTCCCGAATCATTATGTCACATACATGCCATACACATAATCATTACTTTGCCTTTAAAGGGCATACTGCCACAGGCCTGTTTGGAATTCACCTTTCATTTATGTTGATGCAGTCAGTCAATTACTTTGTTACTGCTAGTTTCAACACAGAAACAGGATATAATTAACACACTCAGTCAGAATACCGTGGAAACTAGAAGCTTCCTCTTGAGCTGATTTTGTTTTGTGTCTTGCAGCATTACAATAGATTCCATACTCTTTAAGCAATATGCATTTTATTGAGAATCCAACAACATGAAAAAATGCTACCTATTGTTCCTTTTAAATAGGACCCAGGGTAAAAATTATGAACCTCCATAGAAATGACACAAGTAAAAGAAAAACTGAAGGAGGCACTGTCAATTCTAGAGCTGCAGTTCATTCAAAATCTTCAGTACAATACACTTTTTCAGACCCTAGGAAAGGTGAAAAAGACAAAATGGTGCTTCAGTGCTTACATACATTTATTGTAAACAAACAAAAAAAAGAACATACAATGTACAAGAAAATTTTGAGAAGAAGAAAGCATCAACTTTGCATGTAGTAGCCTAACATTTTGGCTTCTAGGCTACTAAAAGGAGTCATCAACAGGACACGCCAAACTACAACAGTAAGTGCACAAAAACACTATTCATCTCAATGAACTGCAGCTTTTAGACACCATTTGAACAGCACGGTGCAGTAGCAGACACAGTGGAAAACAGGTGTTGTGCAAACAGAGAAGCCTCAGTTTGAGAAACATCCTTTTGATACCAAGTCATGTTCAGTAGTGCTTTTGGTGGACTCGATAACGGACCCCTGTCGTGTCGCAATCAGCCTTTTCAGAGAGGCCACTTCTGCTGACAGGTCGGCGATGCCCTTTTTCAAGTACAAGTTCTCGCACTCCGAGTTGGCGTACAAGCCATCTTTAAGGTCAACAAGTTTGCTACTTACAGGCCCTGGCGAGTCAGGGCAAAGTCTGTTCTTGCAGCCACTTGGCGGGGCCTCCCGGTGGTCTTTGTGCCAATACTCAGGCTGGTGGTTCCAGTCTTGGACATTGTTCACTTGCAGGGACAGTGGGCTAAGAGATGACTGTGTGTACTCAGGCGTACCACCATGAGCCATCTGGTAGCATCCTCTTGCAGACATATCGATGGGGGAAGAGGGCTTCCCCGAGGAGTCGTAGTCCGGATCGATCGCCTCCACTTTGATCTGGATGGCCCGCGCTTTGATCCGCAGTTTATGGGGCAGGGCCGAGCCATTGGCTTCTGGCACTTTGAGGGCAGAGACTATCACGCTCTTGGGGTCTGCGGTGGACGGCACCGGACCTTTGGGAACCTGCTGTTCGTCCTCGCCATCTGATGACTTGCTCACAGTCCCATCGTCTCCGTCCGAGGTCCGGGGTGAGTTGCTGGACGATCTGGTGATCTGGAGGAATGGGGAGGGCTGGGAGTAGCCTCCAGGGAAGGGGCTGTTCAGGTAATTTTTGTACAGTTCATAGGGACTTGGTTGGTCCCTGGCGTAGCTGCCATTCTCCATAGGCTCTTGCTTTATGATTTCAGGGGTCCTGCAAATGTTCATCAAGGGGCTGCCCTGTGTTACCATGCTGGAGTCAGACCCATCAGATAAGGCGCTGTGAGGTGAGTGCTTGATAACTGATATGCAGCTACTGCCTAACCGCGATGGCTCCAGCTCTCTAGCATAGGAGCCTTTGGCACTGCCAGGTGACACAAAGTCCTGGTAGAGGGCGCTGGTGGAGGTGGAAATCTTCTGCACCTCCTGAGCGTACACAGCCGAGCTCACCAGGCCGAACTTCAGCTTGAGGGACAGCAGCTCGGCTTTGAGTGAAGCATTCTCCTCCCCCAGCGCCATCAGCTTGCTCTCCAGAACCATGTCGTTGAGCCGCCGCTTCTCTCGCGAACGCTTGGCCGCCTCGTTGTTCTTGCGCCTCCGCTCCCAGTACAGGTTGTCCTTCTTCTCATCCGGGATGAACACCCGCTTCCTGCGGCACGTGGTGGTCTTGGCCTTGAAGGACATGTCCGACAGGTTGTGATTGATCAGGTCCCTGTCCGTGCCCTGCAAAGCCACAGCTAACACCAGGGCATCCTCTCCACCATAAGTTGGTTCTTTCTTAATGGTCTGCATATTACACAACGTTGTGATCCAGATTGCATAAACTCAGTAGTTCTCACTCATGTAGAACAGCCGTAGACGTAGAGCATCTTCAACGTAAACCAAGTGCTATGGATGACATGGGTGTCTGTTAAGAGTTCCTCGTGGGGATTTTGTTCCTTGTGGACCTGAGGAAGAAACACAGGAATCGGTCTTAGAAATCAGACATACTATTGCTACAGATTACTGTTAAACAAAGTTGGTTTGTCTTTAACAATAAACTTTAACACAGTTCTTCTGTGCAAGAACCTCTGCTGTCTTAAGACATGCCTGACTCATCCATCATAAACCATTCTTAATTGCAGGCTTATTACAAGTACTGTCTATCAGATTCAGACACTCTGACAGCCTAAAGAAAACATTTATCGTAAACATAATATGACTCCGCCCATGAGATAGTGAAGGTTTTATCAAAGCAACGAATAAAACAACCGAACAGAGGTTAATTTTATTGTTTAAAATAGTATGATGTGTACCCAACATTTTTCCTGAAAGTTTTTACATCATTCAGTGAACAAAAATACATAAACAGACCAAGTAACATAACAAAGGACAGTTTATTTAAGAGTTCATTTAGTTTCGACATGTCATGAATGGCCATTTGTAATAGCAGCGATATGCTCCTGACAGCAGCACATTGTACTCGCTCTGCCTTTGAATTCCTCAGTGCTCCTGAACCATGACATCACTGAGTTTCAGACAGGCATGGTCCTGCCATCGGCAAATGAGATTCAGCAGCTTGTCAGCTGAAAGAGCAATTTTATGTAAATTTCACAGAGTTGTGACACATTGTTTCCCATGATCACAAGGTAACATTTCTGTTGATGACTATGTTAATTTTGTGGTCTAATTTAGCACAACATAAATAAACTAGATGATCTGTATATGCTCCCCACAAAATGAATATCCCGCCACTCTAAGCTTAGAGCCGTCAGTGGGTGGGTGGGTTGAACGTAACCATATGTTCAAATTTATTGACACATTTACATTGCAGGGCTAAACCACTTTAAAAAGCACTGGCACAAGATAAACCTTTACTGTTTATCTTTCTTTAATATAATAAAATAGCCAGATGACAGAAAAAAATGTGACATCAACTCACACTATGACTAACATTTTAGCTGTTTTTTAAACTGTTTTAACTAAGTGTGTTATTCTGAATTAAAGGGGCACTCTGGCCCACATAAAAAATATAACCGTTGCTTTTTCTGTGGTGAAGATGTATACCTGTCTTCTACAATGGTGCCACAAAAGTCTCAAGAACGAAAGTTTACAGGTTAAATATTAGGAAAACCCCCTTTCTGATGATGCACCTTGAAGGTGGGAGAAACTACAACTGCTTGAGGGCAGCCTTTTTGAAAGCTGTTGTAAGGTGATTTATGCAGAGAGAAGCCAGATAGCTAACTTTATTACCAGGAGGCCTGCGTTTATTAGCCTCTACATCAGTGGCTAGACTAGCGGTCAGGATTTCTTTAGCTCAGGGATCCCAGTGGTTGTAATACATTTGCTAAATGCATGCTGGGTATTGTAGTGAATGAACACTGGTGGACAAAAAAATAAAAAGAATACAAAATCGTTAATACTCTCTAAGGATATAATGCTAGTGGATGCTACATAGTAAATGTTAGTTTTGGGCCAAAATGCCTTTTTAAACAAGCTCACCTGTAGAACTGCTTTCATGAACTAATAACAAAAAAGAGGTTGACTAGTCAGCCTAATGTTCACAAACTCCTGAAAAAAACATAATTAATCGGTTCAGAAACTTTAAAGACACGGTGGGTGACCGTTTTCTTTCCCTTTTTCCAAATTATGCAACGCCGAAGCAAAGAGCCCCATTGAAGCGTGTGGGTGACGTCACCGCCGGAGGTCGGTTACGCAAAAGTACTAAAACCGAATTGCCGGTCATGATTACAAAAAAAGCGCCTCTATCAAACTCTGTTAAATTTCTAACATGTATCACACACTAAACACGCTCTATGGAAAGCAGCGAGTCCAGCGAGAGCCGTTTAGTGCGTTAGAAAAGTGGGCTGATCATGGCAATGACCTTCAACGCGTCGGTCCCAACCAGCACTGAGGCTCTGCCCAGCGGGCTCGTCCACAACTCCACACAGCTCACGGCAGCACAGCGCAGCGACTGACCGAAAATCGGGCTGTTACTGAGACTGCGCGTGTCTGGAGTGTCTGAAATGCAACAAAAAAGACACGAGCACGAGCTCGGCGTTACCTCAGACGGAGGCTCGGCTGCACCCCGGGCGCGCAGAACAAAGGAATGCGCCCGGCCATCATCACCACCACCATCATCATCATCATCATCACACGTGGCTGAACCCAAACAACTAACCCAAACGCGCATAGGGACAGAACGAAATACACAGCTGGAAAATCATTCAGCGGTGCAGCTGCTGGGGGGCGTGCTGAGGGGTTCATGTCGTTTAAACTAATAAACTGGATCGTAAACCCAGCGCTCAGCCTACATTACAGGTGTGCATTCGGGCGTTTCTGTGTCTTGCCATCACAGTTACTGTGCTTAGGCATGTGTGGCCATTAAACTGCAGGAAGCATCTCCCAGCACCAAAACTGGACTGTACAACAATACAGCCCTCCTGATGCGTTTTGGCAGGCATGGCTGGCGACCCACCACGAGAAGAAAGCCACTTCACACCACCCCCTATTTTAGAGAATTGTGCAAAAGCAACATCTGGACAGCGCTGTCAAATATAAACCACAAAATCGAACCTCTCTTAGAAAGAGAAAGAGTTGTGGGCTACATTTGGTGTTCATTCAGCACCCCTCCACGGCCCAGATTCCTTTATCTGGGAAGGATTACACTAGAGTAAGCGCGATCGGTCTTCGTCCAAAGCAAACGTTATGCAATGATCACAGGCCTAACAACCTCCAGCTCACTTTAAACACATAGAAAATAGTCAAGACGCATTTGGGACGATGCCAAAGTGCCAGTGCGTTTTCAACGACCCATGCTTTTCAGTCCTGTGTAGGCTAAACAGAATCGAGTGGAGATCCACATGTAATCTATCAGGCCTATTATTCCGATCTGCATAGCCCACCAAAAAACACCCCTGTAAATACTGAGCTAATCTGATCCTCCGAGCGTCAGCGCAGGAATACACCCACCCACACGGAGTTCTGGGTCACTGTGCCATTGCAATTGTTTTGGTAACGTTAACGTGATTCAAATCCTTATGGACCAAGTGGGCAGTCTGAGCAGACAGGAGACGCAGAAGTGATGTGCAGGAAAATCCTATGCAGAGTTATGCGATCAAAAGTTTTTTGTTCTTGAGGAGAAAAAAATGTCCTGGCTGCTTGCACATGTCCTTTATTGGCCAGCTACAGTTTCAGAAATAGGCAAGTATTGCAGTGACTAAGAATAGGCAGCGTAGGGAGACCAGTTGAAAATAGCCTAAACAAACCAGCAACTGTCTGGAATGACTCACTGTAAAACAAGCAAAGAAAAGCATTTGTGCCTACCTTTAATATACACGGGCTCAGTTAGGTAGTCCGTAGTATAAAACGTCGCGTACGAATGGCAACAAGCAGTAAGCGTTTCATCTGCAAAGAGGATAAAACTTCCATTAAAATTGTGAGGTAATGTTTCCGTGTTTCTCCTTTGCGTTTTTCCTCCCGGAGTGGCCGCTGCCTCATGGATCTGTGTTAGTAGGTCAGTGGAGAAGAGTATTGGCAGCGTGCGAGTGACTGACGCGCCGCGCAGCCTATAGGAAGCAGGCATTTTCCGATTCCAGCCAATCACTCGCTTTTCTGGGGGTTACATCGCTAGCCAAATGCAAATGAATGAGAGGTAGGGTTTTTTGGCGTTTTCTTTGGGAGTGGAGGGGGGGGGTGGCTTTACTGTATGTTGGGACAGACATGCGGAGACTCACTGAGCCAATGGAGGAGTGCGGATGACAGAATGACGACAACCATAAAAAGTATTGATATGAAAGTGACGGATGTGTACACATAGTAAGACATTTAGCGTGAACCGGGAAAAATGGCTTTGAAAGTCGAGAAACACAAAAACCCGGACAACAACATGTGGCCATATAACATTAAAAAAAGACAATCTGTGAAATTACATCATGTCACCTGGTTTATTTAGCAACAAACCAGTCCGCAGACTCTAATTCCTCTTTGGTCAAACCAGCTGCGAAGCCCATTTCTGAATAATGTATTAGATTTAGAAAGTATATTAATAGACTGAATCGTACGTGTTTGGTAACCGCCACCCCATCGCTTTAATGACTTAACCGATCACGTGTGTGTTTTGGTAACGCTGCAAAACTCCTCACGCATGCAGCAATAGCGGCCTCTACTGTTCGGCTTCGGAAACACAGCGCAGCTGTGTTCAGGCTCCACCCTGGAGCAGAGAGCCACCTGCTGTTCAGAAAGAAAAATGCACTGCATTTAACACATACTGCAGTGTTCAGTGAAGCGCTAGCCTAAATCCATATTCAACCGAATGTGCTGTTAATTCAGTAAAACAATGATTCAAAGCGAACAGTAAAAAGCATCTTGAACAGAAGTAAAAATATATCACACTAGCAAATCACTATAAAATCCCCATAGAACACGTGGAGTCTATCAGCATAGGAAATATAGTTTGTTAGGCGCTGTTTTCTTTTTGTGATCCATTTGGTTGAAAATAAAATGCTAACGTTTAAAAAGAAGCGAAAGCAACCTGAATCAACACAACAGCATGAAAAACCCAGTAAAATGGAAATGGGAATTAAACGGGGACTAAAATTTGACTGAGTAAAGCAAGTATAACAATAACTGTGACCAGTTACTATTTATACATATACATACATACCTATACATCTGCTGGACACAAACTAATACCACAAGAGTTAACTCAACACTCTGGATTTAGGTGTGTTTAAGCCTCTATAAATGACAAGAGCACCAACAAGATCATCTGAGTACAAATGACAAGTCTGAATATCTAACTGTAGCTGAAGTGTAACTGGTTTTATACCCCCAGTTATGTTGTTATGTATCATACATATGCAAATAACTGCATTAAGCAAATGTTTTACTTAAACATGTAACTGCTCTTATACATACTCCTATCTGCCTGAGCTGATTCAGGTATCATCGGGCATCAGGTAAAAGGGCACATTTTAAATTACATCAAAGGCATGTTCTATATTACACATATCCACCTCATATCTCTGTTGTCAATGTGCTGTAAGCTTGTAGAAGCTGTACACCTCTGTGGCAATAAGCTCTGATTTTAATGAGATATTGTACAGGTCAGTAGGAGTCATATCACGCTTACACACAACAGGACAAGATTCAATTCCACCACAAATGTGTAAGTATAGCCGTATAGTCTACAGTTATGATTTAAAATGGTAATTTTGTTAAAACTTCAGTAGAAAATGGTTCTATGAAATGGTCTCATACATACAAAAAAACAACTTTCATTGCATTCCATGATGTGCATGCACTGCAATAACACAATCAATTGGATTACAAGTGGAAACTGACCACTGATAGGACAAATTTCTTTATTTGTAAGTACTTCTGCACATAACAAAATATATTCCGTAATGATGTTCTGTCCACAGTATCTTGGCTGATGCTGATGAGTAACCCTAGATAAGAATGCTGAGGCAGACAAGCATCAGTGACCTGCTATGATAATATTACTCCAACATTTTTGTTGGTTTGGTTTGAGCAATGCAATTTATTGCTGAATACATTGAAGAGGAGGAGGATGGATGGACGGTCTCCCAGTGATTATCCTTAAGGATGCACTGATATGGGAACTGTGAGCTGATATCGATATACAATATTTTTGATGTACAGTCATATGCAAAAGTTTGGACACCCCAGTCAAATTGCATGTTTTGTTCATTTTCAAAGCAAAAACAAGTACATAAGCTAACACACTAATGCACATTTCAGGTGCACAATTACTGTTCATTCGATGAATTTAACTATATTATATAAATGATCAAATGTGGCCTGTGCAAAAGATATGGCACATTTTATATTTTATTTCTTTCTCCAATATGTTTACCTCTGATGGAAATTGTGCACTAAAATGTACAGAAAAGTGACATATTTAAATGTTCTGTGAACTTATTTTCACCTAGAAAATCAATAAAAATGTGTAATTTGTCTGGGGGTGTACAAACTTTTACATACATCTGGCGATGCCTGTACATAAAGGTCTATAAATTATGAAAAAGTTGGACTAGATCAACCTGGATTAGCATTACAGAGCAATAATATATATAGAACAACAGACACAGTAGCCCAGCTCTTTATTGTGCGATAAATACATCATCAAATTTTAGTCTGAACTATCCGTCAAATCTGCCTGATGCCAATCATTTTTAAGCAGGCTACTTCCATTCTGAAATCCCTGAGCATCCCTAGCTATCATCACGCCATGCTTTACTAACTTTGTAGCGCAATTTGTGAGGCAAAAGAGGCACCACTGAGGCACGCTTAGGTTCTTTAATGGTATTCACTTCTTCGCCAGTCTCTTTAGTCTGGGTGATGACTGGACCACTGCCTTCCGCATACGGTTCATGCACCTGACTAGGGGCACCACAGCCAGGCTCAGTACAGGCAAGCCTTGGGTCATGAGGCACCACCATGTCACCCAGAGAGACAGGACCCGGGTAGCTGTTCCTATTTGGACCCCCGTGGCTTTGCATTTCTTCTCTCTGACACATTTCATAGGCAGCAGGAATGCACATGTTTGAGGGACAGTTTCCATCTCTGCACGCAGGCATTCCCAAGCGACAGCCCACACCTCTGTCCCTCTGGTGAAAGGTATCCATGACTCCGGCTGTCAGGACGTTTGGAGCGGAGTAGTTTTCCCTCCCCGCGTCGTAACTGGGACCCAAACGCTGCACTTGGCCTCCGCTGGCAAAAGTGTAAAGAGTCCGGCCGTCAGTTCCAGGCAGAGATGCAGAGAAATCCGCCAAAGAGGTCATGTACGCATCCCCGGGCAGTCCTTGGGCCACGGGACCACCCGCCATGCCGTCGAAGCGAGTCTTCAGGCCGATGTTGTGGTAGTGAATCGCCGAAAGCGCCGCCTTCAGTTTCTCGTTCTCGCGGAGGAGTTCGACAGCTCGCGCCTCCAGCAGGCACTCCTCCATGCGCCTGCGCAGACGCGACCTCTTCGCCGACTCGTTGTTTCGACTCCGTTTGAGCCAGTACGTGTCGTCTTTCTGCTCCTCCGGCGTGAACTCTCTCTTCCGACGCGCTGTGGCGGCTCTCCTCACCACTGCGTCCGATCGAAGCCCGTGAACGGAGCTCCGGTAACTGCTCTGAACTGCTTGGTCGAGCCGAACCGGAACCGGCTTTTCCAGCGCGGAGCAACAAGTGATTGAGGAGGACATGGCAGCAGCAGGGCACCTGTGGACGCGCTTCACTTCAGGAAAATGTACATTTTAAGACTATATTGTCGTTTCAAAGCCTAAAGCCAAACGTAAATGAAGAGTATAGAGCACGCAAACCTGTTAAATATGAGCCTGACACCCCCCAACTACCCCCCACCACTCCGTAACCGCAAGGTACTAGACAAACGCCCATCGAGCAGCTATTGGTTATCTTACACATTTATGTCGAGTAAACGACTCCTGAATCTCAGAGTAAGCCGTCTTAGCCTGCAATCTAAAGTTTCTCTATCAGAAATGACAAAATGTTAGAGCAAAGTGTGAATATTAGCCAAAAAATAAACACATGATTGTTAAATCCACTTTGCATGTTATTTAAAAGTTACATGGTCCTATTGTACCAAAAAGGGTTCTGCTATTGTTACGATGTTAAGCTTATTACAGTACAAGAACCCTTTTTGGGGTTATATAGAACCATATACGGCACATTTCCCTCAGTCTAGAGAACGATTTCACCATGCAAAAAACAAATGGTTCTTTGAGTGTTCATAGTTCTACTAAAGAACCCTTGGAGAGCTATCTAACACTGCACCAGTGGTGTTATGTGTTTACTTGTGTACACGTGGTTTTTGCACATTCACATATAAAATATGACTTCAAGAGTGATAAACATCCTACCATCTGATGTTCACCCCCCCCCCCTTTTATTATATTTATACAGAATTATATTTTAGCATATTTTTCAGTTTACACTTGTAATAATCTATAGCATTTGGGGGAATCAATTTTAATACTATTAATTTAGTTTTCAGTAAGTAAAAAATTAATTTTGACATATTGAAATGGTTCAAATAGATTTTTTAATAGAAAAATTGTAAGTGTTACTTGGGCAAATTCACTGATGTTAGCATTTAAATTGATGTCAAATTCCCAGTTCTTACTAGTATTAACATTTTCATTTGTTCAAATTGAATTTTTTGATATCAAAAAACATTTTTATACAAAAACCATAGATTAAAAGCTACAATGGCATTCCATAAAATTCCAAATGTTTCTCTGTTGAACTTGGACGCTCAAGTTGTAGGGCATTATGCGGCGTATGGTCATCGTCTCTGCATCAATGTAACAGCATTAGGAGTGGTCTTTAGTCTCAACAGTTCCAGACATTGAAGGTTTGGCAAGTGTTTTAAGTCATCACAACAAATACATTATCTCTTATTTGAACACATCCTATTAGCACATTCAGTTTATTTTGTATGAGGAATTAAAACAAGACTCCCATAAAATGTTAATCCAGCAACCAATCATGCTGAATTAAAAAAAATGTAGAGGCCTAAAAGAAAAGCCACAATGTGTGTCACAGATCACTTTATTTGACACTCCATTTCGCTGGATGTACACAATATACGATTAAGTTCTGTTATAACGGCTTGATAAAAAGCAAGTATCTGGTTTTAAACAAAATTAAAAGTAATATCGCTGGCTAAACAAAATCGTTTAAAAGAGAGACAAAGAAAAATAAAAGAATCACTTATTTTCTTTAAGAGAATCAATGACATAAATTACAAATCTTTACAACAGAGCTTCAACCTTACAAGCACTATATTTAAAAAAACAAAATAAAAAAATTCAGACAGATGTTTTGGGACCAACATCCGTTGACCTTTAAGTTTCTACATGCCGATAGTATTTAAGGCAGTTTGTGACAGAGTGTTGCATAGATTTTGGCCAGTCACTTAAAAATTGGTGCTCCATTACCTCACGGCCACATTCAGACTCAGTGGGACACAATCAACATAAACATCAACGCAGTAAACATGATAAGTCATTCTCATTTCACTGAGAACAGGAGATAGACATTAGGTACTCAAACTGCCTGACCTTTCCTATATGATGGTCTTGGAAGTGAAAACAAAACAAAACATTGAAAACATTAATGGGTGGCAAGTACAGAACTCCTTATAAAAAGATACAATTGCTTCATGTTGCACAGCAACAGTAAGAACAAAAATTCTTCTGAATGGCTTTGCAACAAGTTTGATTTAAAAAAAAGAAAGAAAAACTGTCCACGTGTCTTGTCAGCAACGCACCTAACAGCAGAAAGGTAAGGAGTTAGATTCTTCATTGCAGACAGATCTGAAGGCAGCTCAGTGGTACAGCTGTCACCAGTCCTGAAGGTACAGCCTCCAAAAGTGAAAAAGTCATGTTTTTGCGACTGCCAAAAAACCTATAAATAATATTCAGTTTTCCCCACAATCAATGGTTTCCCTTCACTGTTTTTCAGACTGATGCTCAACTGGCAGACGGTACAAAGTCACACTTCACAGAACAGCTCTCGCTGTCATTGGGTCCTACAGGGCCGCCTATGCCTCTGAATGCATCTCGCAGTCATCAATCTGTGGGCTGTCATTGTCCCCCAAAAGCTCTGTTTCAGGAACAGAAGTGTCCTCGTTATGCAGGCCATTTTGGGAAGCACCATCAGCCATGTTCTCATCGGCTGCCTTAGCATCTTCACTCAGGAGGCCAGCCTTCTCCGTCCCCGAAGCATTGGATGGTGCTGTAGTGACATATCCTGTGCTGGTAGAGCCACTGCCACTGTGATGCGAACCTGCCTTAGCTACCATTTGCGGGTGCATCTGCTGTGAGGGCATTTGCATGGGGATCTGCATGGGGTAGAAGTTCTGGAGGTATGGATAGGCTGGCACAGGCTGGTAGCCGTTAACAGGGATGTAAAGCTGGGGTGGTACCATGGGCCTCATTTGGCCCTTCATGGGCATAAACTGGGGCTGGGGGAAGGGTGAGGCCTTTTTGGGGGTGACATAGCGTGCAGCGCTGATGTTACTGACTGGGCTTGTGCTGAGAGAGCTGGTCTGGGTTGTGTTGCTGGCTCCAGAGGTCTGTGCTGAGCTGTTGTAGTTGGACAAGCTTTCCCAGGTGCGTAAGCGTGCATGGATGTCTTTGAAGCGTGGCCGCCGCGCAGGGAACTCATTCCAGCACTCCAGCATGAGGGTGTAGATCCAGGAAGGGCAGTCATCAGGGCAAGACAGCACTTGTCTGTTGCGCACCATCTCAATTACATCCTGGTTGGAGTAGCCACAGTAGGGCTGAAGGCCATAGCTAAAGATCTCCCACAGCACCACTCCATAGGACCAAATGTCGGAGTCGGTGGAGAACTTGCCATACATGATGGCCTCTGGGGACATCCACCGGATGGGGAAGGGACTGTTGCCCATCAATTTGTAGTAGTCAGCAGAGTACACCTCCCGGAACAGCCCAAGGTCAAGAATCTTCACGTTGAGCTTGTCGCAGACCAGGATGTTCCGAGCAGCAAGATCTTTGTGGACCACGTGGTGACTGGACAGGTATTCCATCCCAGCTGCCACCTGAGTGACTATGTGTAGGAAGTCCGCCTGCTCGAGGGCTGACTTGACCGTTTTGTCGTCATCTGAGCTGCCCACATCAGAATGTGGTGAGCGCATGACCAGGAACTCGTGAAGGTCACCATGGCCCGAGTAACTGAAGATCATGCTCATGGGCTGCTCTTTGGTCACTACACCCAGGAGGCACACAATGTTGGGGTGCTGCAGGCGGGAACGGAGCATGGCCTCGTGACGGAACTCCTCCCGCAGACTTCCTTCATCCTTGTCTTTCACTGTTTTAATAGCCACCACCTGGGTCTGCTCTCCTGGGGCGGTGCCGTAGAGGTGACCTTTGTAGACCTTTCCAAAGCGGTCCTCTCCAAGCTCCTCCATGAACCGTACAGCTGACAAGTTGATTTCTCTGAGCTTTCCCTGAGAAGAAAAGTTGATATGTTCACGTTCCAGCTACTAAACCATTACCATTAGTGCAGTTACATCATTGTTGTTATAAATAAAACTAAATGAAGAGGAGCTCTACAGCCTAGTGTTGTCTATTATTGAAACTGAATGAGTTTATTCATTGACATTATGAATGGAAAACATTGTTTGTAATATTCTAGACAGTAAATTGCTTGTAAATGTATTGCAATAATCACAGGATATCGCTGCATAATAAGCATTACATCATTTTTATCATTTCACAAAGAAAATATGTAGCAATGGCAGATTAATTTCTATGATGTAAGCAATACCTGGTGTTTGTGCTGGTTCAGGAGTGGCATCTCCATGTCTTGACTGGGAGAGGCTGAGAGCTGCCGGCGAGGAGGAGTGTCGACTGACTCCTTCTGCTTGTTACGGCACATGCACACCAGGAAGAAAAGGCAGGCAATGACCAGTGGGATGGTGATACTAGGGATGAGGATGTAGAGGATTTCCTTCTTCACGTTCTCTGGAGGCTCTGCAATTTAACACAATGTAAACTGTTGAGACACTGCTTGATGTGATTTCACAGCTCTTAAATTTATAGATGTCTTAATGTATATTGCATGCATGCATGGTGTCAGCGGATGGTTTATAAGCTATAACTGGTGGGAGGTTCTACTCACTGCATGAACGGATGTCACAGAGATCCACCCTCACACGGGGATCAAGTGTGAAGCACCATGGACTTTCCATCTGTCCCCCTGGGTTCCTGCAGAAGTTGTGCCCTCCTCTGAGCTCCGGGTGCTCAACAGGTGTCAAGTGATGGTTGTGCGGGTACTGGGCACTCCAAGGCTGGCACTGGTACCCAGACTTGGTTACACTGACAGTGCCTCTGTAATTAGCACCACTGCCATTATAGCAGCTGTGATCTGGGGGAGAATCTTTCACAAGGATTGAAAATTAGAGGAATGAACAGTCAACCAAAACAGCTGTCCAAAGTGAGAAAGTGGCACTGGATAAATACCAAAAGAAAGACCCCATCTATTCACCTGTACCACTAGAGGGCCCTCTTGATTCACTTGCAGTACAGCAAGTCATTATTCTTGCTTTTTGCCATGTATCGAGACAATCAAGATGCTTTTCAACCCACATCAAGATGATCAAGAGGTAAGCAGACCTTGCACAATGAGTGCATGTAAGTCATACTGCATGTTCTACACTTAAAATATGCTTCATTGCTCACATTCTTTGCTAAGGATTGCTGGCCTGTCTACTGATTTGTTCTGCTTCTGCTCCCAACACAACTGATCCAGGTAATCTGAGTTGTACATGCCTTAGGTGTATTGGAATGTAAAACAGAGCAAAAATGCAAACTGGCTGGGGGTCTCTGAGGACTGGACTGGAAAGCTGGGCTTCATTGCACAGGCTTCTAATTACAGTGGGTTTTACAAGGAACTTAGTGTCAACATCAAACTCCCTGACAGAAATCATGGACTATGGAAGGTCCACTTACATGTCTCCAGACGGTCGACGGGCACACCAATGCGCATGCAGCTGGCAGCATCGGGTGAGCCTGGATGGGGAAGCAGGTTGCAGTTGGGCAGCTCCAACTGCATGAGGATGAGTGGGTTGGAACGGGCAATGGTGTACTCTGTGCGGCATAGGTCGTTCTCCAGAGCCTCGCACTCATCCCTACAGAGCTGCCGCTGCCGCGGGCCCCTGGTGCCTTCCTCGCACAGTGGAAAGACGTAGTGGCAGAATGAGGGGATGGCAAACTGGGAGCACTGGTCAGACAACTGAGTGGAAGTGCCGATCATGGTGAAAGCAGCTAAGGGAGAAAGGAAGTGAGGAGAAAGTTAAAGCAAAATTAATGCACTGACAGCACATGACTGAGAGACAGACAATACTGGATGGTGCTAACCTCACTCTAAAAAAATTATTTCCAAAGTATCTTCTGAATCTGATAGACTGAGGTAAGACCAACAAATCAACAATAAATGGATACCACAAAAGAAATATTTATTGATAATAACAATTATGAGTCTTTGAGGAAAATTATGAATCATCTCAGAAACGTCTAGTACCCCATCCAGCCCTTTCAAGTTTAATACCGAATGACGCATAATGTTCATTAAGCACTAAACTTTTAATCTATCTCCCCTAAATTCTTCAATGTCTGAAGGACACAAAAGGCAACAGAAGAAAATAGTTTCGTAACCTGAGCCCTTTTCAGTTAGGGGCATTTTTCCATTGAGCTAAAACACTGAACCCTTAGTTGAGAGAGATTACATGTAAATAAAAGTAATGAAATTACACGAACTCAATTTCCTGAGAGACGAAAAGCCAAACATGACATCAACAGAGAGAGTTTGGGCTGAAGAATGGTACATTATTTTTTCTGACAGAGTTATTGCAAAGAATTTATTTAATTTCAGGACTTGATGATAAGATTAAAGTCCTAAAGTTCTCTTTCATCGTTCTTCTGGTCTCTTAAAACTGAGTTACTATAAGCGACTGTGGCCAAACCTGGCATCAATTTCAGAAGGAAAAAGGCATGTGTTTTAATCTCTTTAACATAAAATGTTCAGGAACACTCAAAGATCTCTACACATGATGCTTCCAAATCATATGTGATGCATTATATACTCTTAAATAAATAACATACATGAAACAAGTAAGTACGTACCATATGTTTTCACATTAGAGTCCCCTACAGTCAAATGTTCTATACATGGGAACAGCACAACCTAAAGATCCAGCTAGTGCTGGGCAACATATTATCTACACTGGTATACCATGATAATGATATACTGTGATATTGCTTTTCGGTTTTAGCAATTTTTTAATGATAAACATTTTATTAGCAGTGTCTTTGTTACCACGCAGTTTGCTTTTAGTACTTTAATTCTATTTTGTGCACTTGATGACACTTTATGATTCCCAGGACCTGACAATTAACTGCTGTGCATGTGATTTGCTGAGTGCTTCAGATAGTTTAAATAGAAGAGCTTCAAATCCATAAAAACTAAATAAGTAAATGTTTCCATCTGGTTACCATTACAATACTGTGTAAGATGCCATTTGGTGTCATTTTAAAAGAAGAAAACAGAACAAAACAGTCCAAACAAAACAAGCCATGTCAGTTTGCAACATACTCTTTTAGCACAGAGCAACAATACTCAGGCAGAATGGTCTCATCAATTGTATTGATGCAAACTTAAATATCATCTGATGCTGTGATATTTAAAAATATTGAATTTTATCAATATCACCAAGCACTAGTTCCAGCAACAGTGGCAGTGAATTTGAAGGCAAAAAAACAGCTGGGAAGTTTATCTGCATTTGCTGAAAAGACTGGAAATTTGTTTTCCTAGAACTGTATCCGCACTAAACTAAAAGGCCCTAAATCAAGGAAGGCTTTGAACGTGGCAATTAGAGCAATACGAGATAATATGAGAGTGGAAGCATATTGTATAAACCAGCGGTCACCAACCGCCCTCCTGGAGATCTGTTTTCCTGCAGAGCTCAGCTCCAACCTGCATCTAATATGAAACCCTTCCCCTTACTTAACACTAATGCTTCTGATACAACCAGTCAGGGACTTGTGAAGAAGTTGATTATCTGGAGCAGGTGTGTCAGGTTGTGGCTGAAAATAGACTCTGCAGGAAGGAAGATCTCCAGGACCAGGGTTGGTGACCACTGGTTTAAACAGACCTGAATACTATTAACAGGCAAAAAATGCATTTGCTTTTGAGGAAAAATGTAACTTTGTGTCCTGATACTGAGTGCTTAGGCTGAGTGGCCTTACTGTCATAACTTACCTGTGATACGGTTCTCACTTTCTCCCTGCATCTGCAGAGACTCCACATAGATGCTCCTGTTCCCGATAAAGCGTGCACAGGCGATGCCCCGGTATGGCTGGCAGAAGCCCTTCTCATGGGTCCTGAGAAACACGAAAACAAAAAGTTAGGGTTGCCATATTAAGAACAACCTTCTGGTAAATGCTGCATTTATCCTATACATTAATAAATATTTAAGTTATCCAACAGGCTTTTTTTTAATAGGCACTGACACCAGAATGCAGTACTTTCAATGAGGTAAGCTTTGATATCTGCAGAAATGTAAACTTTCTGCATAATTAAGTTGTTAAGATGTAAACAAAGAATGGTTTGACAAGAAATTCTAGAGAAATGTAACGAGTCAGAATTGTTCACAGTGGTATTGATAGGAACTAGAAGTCCTAGGCATTTAATTCCTCTAAAAGTTCCCTCACACAAAGTTATTAGATGAAATGGTCATGAATACACTGCCTGATGCCTGAGACATTGTTTTATAATAGTTTTGGCTTTGCTAAGATGTCCAAGCAGGGCATTGTAAAGTAAAAAAAAAGTCTCCTCAAAGATTTATTTTTACATATTTATCACTAATTTACCATCAACATTACATATAAGCACTCAGAGGTCAAAGGTTTACTGGTTGTTTGAAGTAGTAAATAAAATGGCTATAATGGCTAAACTGCAACCCCTGGTTCCCATCACCACCACTGTAAAGAAAGAGTCAGTAAGTTTCTCTACAGTGCAGTATTTCACATCAAACCACTCTGAATGACTTTGTTCACATTTCAAAGATTAAACTGTGCAGAAATTTTAAAATAGGGAGGAATTTCCCTTTTAACGTTTTGGCCCATATTTAGTGCTAGTGCAATGCATTGATCACAATACATTTCATTTAAGCTGTGTATGGGTCTGCATAGTGTACAAGAGTGTCAGTTTTCTTATGAATCTTCCCAACCTAAATACATTGTCCTATCATTGAACATATTTATGTTTATCCCCATAATCTGCAGACTTATGAACTTACTATTCAGTAACTACTGTAATCGGTAACTAACCTGTAACTGTTAAATCGGTTTTGTTGCTCACAGACAGTCCCCTGCAGTTTAAGGAGGTTTAAATGTAATAAACTAAAAAAATATATTAGCTTCGACAAAAAAAAAAAAACATGGAAAAATCCTGGGCATCAACCCAGAATGTTCATATAGGTGCGTTCATATATCAGAAAATACCTCACATGACATTCCCTTTTTCAAAACAGAAGATTTAGACATGGATATCCCAACAGAGCGGAACATGCATGACTGAAGCTAAATCCTCAGTTTTGGATGCAAACTCTGGTAATCTGGGAGTTAAACGTGAGGGAGAGATAAATGCCGAAGAAAACTTGCTGACATAGCTGTCCAACTTTACGACAACTTTGAGAATGAATCCTTTTCGAGCTAGCTCACTGAATTACAGAATTAACATTCTTTATTTGTTGTGGGTTTAGTTTAGAGTCCAAAATGTCTATAAGCTGCCACATCCCCCCAAAAGTCCTTGTGTTTACAAATGGTGCCAAGGCAAATATGACCCACGCAGCTGCAATGTAAAACTTACCATGTTTCTCTAATGAAGGTTAAGAAGTCACAATGATATGCCCTAGTGAGAGGCCACAGCGTTTCTACTTGTAATGCAATACGTCTCTTATGAGAAACCACCATGCAATTGGCACCAGGCTGGCATTTTAATTAGACAACTCACTTGAGAGGAAGTGCTTGCAGTGGAAAGCACAATAAGATCCACAAGAGCACTCACAGAAACTATGCACACAAACATATGCCTTTAAAATGGCACACACATCCTCAAAACAATCACATTAACCTTAACTAACTGCCAACCTGAGCTTGTAATATGAGCTGTTTACCTACATTTTGACAGCTTACATGTAATTCTTCAAAACATGCATAAATAAAAATACACTGGAACAGTTCCAGACCACAAAAATAAGCATGAAATTCTGTATTATTAGTAGTCTACCACTCAGCATGCGTTAGTGTATAATGTGCTTGGCCTGTATTTAACTCGTTAGCACCTCTTTAGCTTTCACTTCACAGTGTGGAGATACTGGAGTCATGCTGGAGACGAATGACAGGGGACTATAACATTTGCAAGATGAAAAAAATATAGTCGTTCAAAGAGATTGCTAAATCACCACTCAAAGACATCGCCATCTCCTGGATATTTAAGGTTTGACATAACTACTTCTAGACATCCTTCATATACTGAAAACACAAACATTTTCCCTATAATACTATTTTAGTGTTGCTGCAGTGAAAATTATGGTTTCAATTATGTTTTGTGTTTTACAAAACTACCTTTCTAACAGTTAACAAGTACATTTTGCTAGAGCTTTAATCAGACTTTAAATTTTTAACCCAAATGTAGCCACTCGAGTCTGACCCACAGCACCAAGTTTAGAATCCTGTCTGAACCCAACTATAGCCCAACTGCAGCCCAACAGAATTCTCTCTAAACCTGAATGTAGCCCGACAAAATTCTCTCTGAACCCGAATGTAGCCAGACTAAACTCTCTCTGAACCCAGCTGTATCCCGACAAAATTCTCTCTGAACCCGACTGCAGCCTAACAAAATTCTGTTTGAATCCAATTGTAGCCTGGTAGAATTCTGTCACAACCGGACTGCAACACGGTTCCAAATCAGACTACAGCCTGACCAAAACTGATCTGAATCCAAACGCAGCCTGCCAAAATTCTGTCTAAATTCAACTGGACAAAAATCATTCTGAACCTGACTGCAACCCAACAAAAATTCTGTCCAAATCTGACTATAACCTGACAAAAATCACACTGGATCTGACTGCAGCTTGACAAAATTCTGTGTGAACTCAACTGTAGCCATCAAAATTCTGTCTGAACCCAACATAATTCCATCTGAACCCATGTAGCCGACAAAGTTCCATCCAAACCCGACTGTAGTCACCAAAATTCCATCTGAACTCCACTGTATCTGACAAAATTCCATCTGAGTCCGATTGTAGCCAACAAAATTCCATCCGAGTCCAATTGTTGCTGACAAAATGCTGTCCAAACCCAACTGTGGCCCAACAACATTCTATCCCAGCCCAATAGTTGTCTGACTTCAAAATTCTATCGGAGCCCGACTACAACCCTCAAAAACTGTTTGTGCTGCTTGACTACAGCCAGCAACTTTCTGTCTGAACCTGACCTCCAGCAACTAGAGACCAAGTAAACCTCCACATTCCTAATATTAGCACCTGCTATGTTACTTTGGCTTAAATGCTAAATTGCCAAGTGATAATCACAGCAGAGATCAGATCATCTGTGAACAAAACTGAAATGAACAGTCTTATCATCCACCTAAAAGTTTTTTTTTCAATTCCCCTGTAACTGACGCAGCAGTAAATGCAGGCCAAGATCTGTTAAAAGGTGGGAGACGGGATATGAGAAACACAAAAATAAAAATTTAACTCAACCTGAGCCTGACAAATATTTGAGAAATAATGACCCTGACTGAACCAGACGTGAATACTTGGGTCCCGCTGGGTTCTGACAAATAGTTCAAGCTGTAATTCACACAGAGTCAGCATGGAGGGGCGGTGAGGACGTGCTGAACTGAGGTATGTGGGTCTCTGGCTTTTGCTCAGACAAATCCAGCAGAACTCGCGCTGAATTGTTTATTGCATTACCTACCTACTGCTAGCTGTTTTTCTCATCATGCTCTATTGCTTCTTTGACCAACATCAGAATCAAACTAACGCTGAGGATGTCCTATGGCCCTGTTTATGCTATTACACAAAGGATGATGTTGATCTGTACTGAAAGACATGCAGGAAGAGAAGATATCTGGATACGTCTTGTGGCAGAGTGATCAGAATTGGATATAAATTATGGAGACATATACAAACTGTCTCTTATAACACTCTAGGGTAGTCTGTCAAGGACCTACTTAGCAGTATAATAGTAAGGGACTGGTACTGAAATTTGTTTTAGTAGAATACAGACATTTTCCAGGGCAGCATCAGTCATGCTGTGAGCATTAATCCACACTAACCTTGAGTGCATGAGCATGTGCTTGACAGAACTGTACATGAAATCTGATAGTGGGGGGGTTTGGTAAGCCTTCTCCATCAACACAAACTGAAGGCTTTCCACATATAATCAATTCCAGAACCTTATGCATTAATGCAAGCTTAAGAGGGTAAAAGATGCCTTAAGATACTGTAACTGAAAGTGGCAGATATGAAGTCCACATTGCTTTGCTTTGAATGAGACTCGGTCTGTCCAACGTCATTAGAGGTGGTCCATTACACCAACAGAAAATAACAGTGCAAATTTTGGAGACATGGTGGGTCCACAGGGAGATAGCAAACAGCAAGGCCTCTTTTTTAACCGTCCAGCCATGAAGGTCATTTTCTTGAAAAGACACAGGTGACATGATCCCAAACAAGCTGCGAAAACCCATCAGCACTGCACTGTTCACCAGCCAGACCCTCCACCAATCAGTTTATGTATATCATAACTGTTTTTTCAGTTTTTAGGGTGCCCACCCTTTACCTTTTCAGTGATGCTGAGGTCTGGACTCTGGGATGGTCAGTTCATTGTTCTGAGAACTCCACCTGCTTCTTTGCTGATTTGCAATTTTTCCTTTCTTTGTTTCTTGCAGTGGAAGGATGGACAGACGCATCTGTGGATTATTTTAGATCTCAAGCAAGAGTCTCTCAAATATGAAAGCTTTAAGTGCTGTTTATCTGTGTGTGTTTAAGTGCTGATGAGGACAGTGTTGGTGGTCTGCCAGGTCTTCCACGGTTGTTTGGAGGCCCATTTTCTCTGTATCTATCTTTTAATCATTCTTTTAACTCCAGTTTTAGAAACTCCTGTTATCCTTTAACTTTCCCCCTTCCTTATGCGAGAGAATTATGTCTCCTCAGAAATGGGACTGGAAATGAAATTAACAAAGGGTGGTCTCTGACATTTGCACAGCACCGTATATCCATTCTCTTCCAATTATGAGGTTGAAATATGTGAATGGATAGTGTGTGAAGAGAGCTTAGGAGGAAAAAAAAATACTCTCCAGAAGAATTTTGCCC